TAGATGGTTACATTGCATACTCTTTGTTTCTTGCTTTATTCAAAAATGTTTTGGTTTTGGAAGCTGATGTCAACATTAGAAAGCATAGCCTACATGAAGTCATATTATAGTAACTCGATGCCTATCAAACAAGTAATAAAAATTTGCCATATTATTCATCAAATATCCGTGGCTTCCAGGGGGCTTCGTCCCCTGGACCCGCACCGGGGGGCCCTAGGCGGCCCCCCTGACCCCCAGCCAAGTGAGACTCGATTCGCGCCGCTAGCCCCACCCCCCGTCGGGGCCTTTAGCCCCTCCGTCGGGCAGGTCCTGGCACCACCCCTGCCTACCACCAGAGCCTTTGTCAAGTCTCTGTCAAATCAGGAAAGTTGACATGTATACTACCTAGTACTAGGGCCTACTACTAGGCCTAGCCTACAACAAAAGTAATTTTTCTTAATAGATAGGGGAGTGCGATTGCACCGTCTGCACGTCCCCTACATCCGCCCCAGTAGTATGCAATCATGGCCAGGGCCAAAATCTGACTTATTATTCAGTAGGACAAAATGCAAACAACATCAACACGCGAAATGCAAGTATTTATTTTGTATGTAACATAACAAATTTTACCTGATTCTATCAGCACATCAGCAAAATACAAGTCAAGAATATGGCCTAGCGGGTCAGACATGATTATTATGATAAGCTAGGCTAGGCCTGACTAGCGTTGCATCTACGACGACAGCGTATGGTCTGACTTGGGTCTCTTTTGCGAGTGGTACCGTACGGTTGGAAATTGAATTGTCTTTGTTTACTGTAGTGGCCTCGAATTCATCAAGTATGCATCAAATTCATTAAAATCCAAATCTATTCTGATGTCAACAGCAAAAATATGAACTTGATACTAAAACGAAATAGGCCTAGTCAGCAAAGCCGAAATTATATAAGCTTCAGTCCCCTTGCGTGTACTGTTGATGTTGTAACGTTAGCTTCTCTTTTAACAACGGCACCGAATCAAAGAGTATCAGAAATGCGCCACACAGCTTTCGTCGTAGTAGTGAAATATGATTCAAGATAGGGAAGTTCCCTCCCGGAAGCTATATTGAATTATGACTGAGATAACAGCTTTAAATAAACGAATTTGGCTGTAATTTGGCTATTTTTAAATGAACTAGTTGTGGAATTTTTCGTCAAGTAGGACTAACAAAGTCAATATATATATAGGCCTATAATGATATCCAGCTCAGAAGTAATACCAAAAGCAAATTGGTTCACAGGCCCTATGTTTTTTTTATTATAATATTATTGTACGTTCAAAATTTTTTTAAATGTATTTATAGTATTACCGCAAGACGATTTAGAGTTTATCTCTATTACATCATGACTATATATAGGCCTATATATATACTGTCTCTTATACACATCTAGATGTGTATAAGAGACAGGTATAAAGTGATTCAATTTATTCTTAAA